CAAATTCCACAGCTCCGTCTCAAGTTACCGAATTCCAGGAATTGCTCAAGGAATTTTCCTTGTTTGCTAAGAAAGTCATTCCTGTAGTAAAAACTTACATTCCTAAATTAGTCGCATGTCAAACTATTTTCGATATAATCATGACATGGAACGCTTGCTCCATAAGATCTAAAACACTTGAACTTGAAATGTATATGCTTACTAACAACGTTTGCTTCGCTACTATCCAAAAAACTTGGTTATCTCCTGAGGCCGATGTTACCTTCTGTGAATATAACATCGTACGCAAGTATCGAAATATTCGCAATCGAGGCCGCCCGCATGGTGGACTTGCAATTCTAATTCACAAATCCATTAAATACTCCTATATGCCACTGAACATACCGGGTAGTGTCGAGGCCGTGGCCGTCAAGCTAATAGAGTTCAATATCTGTATCATTTCGGCATACAGTACTGATAGGGCCCTTGACCAAGCCTCCCTGGATATCCTCACTTCCCTTCGGGTGCCGTTTGTTATCGGTGCAGATCTAAATGCCAAGCACACAAACTGGAATAACTCCTGTTGCAATTCCAACGGCAAAACTCTCGACGCGCACTTGGAACGTGGTACATACTCCATTTACTATCCTGAAACTCACACGCGATTCGCTCCTTTCAAAAAACCATCTACCATCGATTTTTTTCTTTCTAATTTCACCATTAACGTGGTCGTCCAGTTCTCCTCTCATCCGCATCTATAAAAATATCTACTAATTCTGTTCCAGTAACAAACTGGAACAATTATATTAAGTACACCGCCAACATCAAAATCGATCATATTATAGATACACCCGCGTGCATCGACTTCGGCGTCACTCGCATCCAACGTTTTCTAAAAAACTGTTTCTTTAAAGCTTCCGAAATAACAAATTCTCCCAACAGACTCATTCCTTCCGATAACACGCTATGCAAAACAACTAAGCTTAGGAACGCGGCTCGGAGACGCTGGCAAAGGTCTGGTAATCCCATTTACCTTGTATTCTACAAGGAACTCTCTAAAAAGATTAAAAAGGGAATTATTTACTTGAAATGGCTACAGAAACAGAACCAAATCGCTAGTGCCAACCTGCCAAATCACACCTTCTGGCCGGTCTTTAGAAGGGTTATTAACAAACCGCTGAATATTCCTCCACTCATGGATGAACGCGGCAATTACTATTCCGGCAAAGCTGAAAAGGCCCAGCTAATTGCGGAACACTTTATGGGAACTTTTGACTCAGCATTCTCCGTCGCGTCACCTTTACGAAACCTCATTCATAACGACATCAATCACTTCCTCAATAATGAAATTATCTCCCCTTCCATCCCTAATGAGCTTACTCTTCTTTTTTCTCCGAGGTCGATACATCAGAATGTATCTAAGCTAAAATCAAAGAAATCATGCGGGTGGGACAGGATCTCGGTCGACATGATCAAGCATTCGTCACCTAGAGTCTTCATTCAATTGTACTACATATTTCGAGCTGCTTTGCGCTTAAGCCACTTCCCCAAAGCCTGGAAAATCGCTAGAGTTATTCCACTTCCCAAGCCTGGAAAAAACCACAAATTCATAGCTAACTATAGACCAATCAGTTTATTGCCAATCTTAGCAAAAATTTTTGAAAAAATTAGCCTCTCCTTACTCAATAAACACATAATTAAGAATGACATCATCAAAGACTTCCAATTTGGCTTTCGATTGCATCACTCGTGTATCCACCAACTTCTTCGAGTTTCCCAGTTTCACACACATCATGTTAACACCAATCGCTACTCAGCTATGGTCATTCTTGATCTTAACAAGGCTTTTGATTCTGTTGTCTGGCACGACGGCTTGATTTTTAAATTAATTAAATACAACTTTCATCCGTCCCTTATTAAACTAGTCCAAGCTTATCTATCTGACAGATTCTTCTTTGTGCAGATTGATAATATTAAAACCGCACTCATGCCTATAAAAGCTGGAGTGCCTCAAGGCTCGGTCTTTGGTCCTTTACTGCTCCTGTTGTACATTAATGATATTCCTGGCGGCCTCGACACCAAACTCTCTCTTTTCGCTGATGATCCTGGCGGCTTCATACAGTCCTGTGCGTCTCGTTAAATTGCTACAAAATTATCTTAACATCCTATCTTCCTTCTTTAAGGATTGGAAACTAACTGTAAATAGTAATAAATCTCAAGCAATATTATTCACTCGCAGAAGGAAACATCTCGCCCTGGGAGGTCCGCCCAAGCTAGCCCTTAACAACGAAGTTATCGAATGGACGAAAACAGTGCGCTATCTTGGGATAACGTTTGACTCCGGTTTAAGATGGGGTCCTGCGGTCCTTGACCGGAGGAACAAAGCCTTATCTGCCATTAAAGCAGCCACTATACTATTACATTCAAAATCTGAACTTCTTATTGAACTGAAACTAATTATATATAAAGTTTGCATTCGCCCTGTCATAACCTACGCTGCCCAGGTATGGCATGTCGCAGCCCCTTCTCACATCACAAGCTTACAGCGTATCCAGAATAAAGCTTTAAAACTCATTTGAAATTTACCACCCGATCATCCCACATTCGATATTCATATCAAAACTGAAATCCCTACGTTAAAGACTATCATAGACTATTTAATTAAAAATTATTGCCCTTACTCCCACACTAATCCTCTTATCCGCAATACCTTACTTTTCAGCCAAGATCTTCTTCCATACATACCCAAAATCAAATTCCCACTACATCAATAGTTCATGTTATTAATAGCTCATTCAGCTTTTCAGATCGACCAACTATTTTCAATTGCAAACCCGGCTTTACTTTTACGCATGCACCATCGGCTTGGCATATTTCTGCTTGTCCCTAAGCACCATTGTTGCTGCACAGGTTTTTTGTAAATTTTCCTGTGAACCTAATTATTATACTGCCACAGCTATTACCCACTAATCATGTTATTAAACTACTTTTACTTATTTTAGAGTGTAAGGAGCGGCGAAACTCCAGGAAACTCTACGACCCTTCCTGCCTCAATACACACGTAATAGTCTGTTAAAAAAAAAAAAAAAAAACGCAACTCCAGTCTCGGAACAGTAGCAGTAACAGCAGTAGTCACAGTCAGCCAGGCGGCCAGCCTGCGCGCTCCTCCGTCTCAACCATCAGTCGTATCCGACATACGTCTGATGCCGTACGTAAAGATTTTTTTTTTTTACGCGGGGGAAATCTTCCAAAGACACCCCGCCTCCCCTGGGGGAGGTGGCGGTCAACATCACCGCCCCCTCCCCAATCCTCCGCCCGTAGGTGATGCGGCACCGGGGGACCACGCCCGCTGCCGCCGCTCCCCTGGGGAGCCGCCTGTGGAGGAGCCAGGAACCCGCCCGACCCCTCGCGGCCCCTGTGTCCTCTAGTCCGGAGGGCAGGGATCTCGCCTCACCGCCCCTCGGTTCCTCGTTCTAGAGGTATGGTTTGTGTCCTCCCTCTCTCTCTCGGCGGCCTCCATCTGGAGCATGACCTGCTCGCAGAAGGAGGCCACCGCTTCCCAGGACTCCTCTCCCGCCAACATGGTCCTGATTAGGGCCGGCGGCGAGAGGTCGTGGCCAATCTCTCCGACCAGGACTCGGCGCTCCACTTCGGTGTGTGTTGCGCCGAGTCCTGGCGTCCTTCCTCGCAATGGTGGCATCCGCGGTCCACCTCCTTTCCGATCCGGACCAGGTACTCCCCGAAACATCCCTGTCCGGTGAGCACCTGGGTGACCCGGTATGTAAGCCGTCCCTTGCCGCGGTCCACCCATTCCTTGAACGACGGGTGAACCGCCCCTACGGCGCGCTGGCCTACCTTCCCTGCCAAATGGTCTTTCCACTTGGCCAGCGTGCCCTGTCGGGACTGGCGTACCAACACCTCGACCTCTGACGCCGACAGAATCGCCCCGCCCCGGCGGAGTTCGCGGAGACGTCCGTACACTTGGGCGTCACCCTCCGTCAGGAACTCGAACGGGGCGAGTCCCGCCAGCGCCATCGCTGCCTCGTGGAAGATCGTGCAGAATCCCCGGGCGATCCTGATGGCCATTCCTCTCTGCAGCCGGCGGAGCTTGGTTTTGCTCCGCCTACTGGCCATCAGGTCGCCCGCACACACTGGTGACCCGTAAAGGGTTATACTCCGCACGACCACCTCGTAGAGGCGGCGAACCCACTCGTTAGGTCACCCGAGATTTGGTAGGAGGCGGCCCTACGCGGCCGCCGCCCTTTCCACTCGGGGGACCAATCGGTCGAAGTGCTCTTCGAAACGCCAGCGGCCGTCCAGGTGGAGGCCGAGATACTCCATCGTGCCACCCACCCGGACCGACGACTCACACACGCGAAGCCACGACTGGGGCGGCCCCCAGCCCCCAAGCCCGTTGTGGAACCACATGTCCTCGGTTTTGTTGGGGGCGATTCTGCGCCGCAGTCCCCGGATCGATGCGACCACGGATGCCACTCCGGCCTTCGCGAGGCGGATGGTCCTGCCTATTTCCCGCCCGGCGGCGTGCACCAATGTGTCGTCAGCGTAACACGTCAGCGCTACACCGCTGGGCAGGTTGGCCCGCAGAGCTGGGTCATATCCGACATCCCATAGCAGGGGCCCCAACACCGACCTCTGCGGGACGCCGCGACTCATCTCCCTCCGGATTACTCCGTACCTTCCTCAGGTAAGGCGGCGCTTCTTTAGCAATGATCGCCGCCCCAATGGTCCCCCAGGGGAGGGAGTTGAACGCGTTGGCGATGTCTAATGACACACCCGCCCCTGGAGGTGGTCGAGTCCGGCAGGGCGCGAATCCGGTGGATTGCGTCCACCGTGGATCGGCCCTGCCTAAATCCATACTGGCACTTGGCCAAATCGACCCCGTCCCGACAAGTGGCTGGAGAGGCGGGAGGCGACGATCCTTTCAAACAGCTTCCCCACCTTATCCAGGAGTATGATGGGCCGGTACGCGGAGGGAGACTCCGCGGGCCGTCCGTCCTTCCTCAGGAGAACCATCCGTCCCCTCTTTCCCCGAGGACGCTCAGGGCCAAGACCAGGGCTCTGTCGGGCACACCGTCCGAACCCGCGGCCTTGTTTCCCCGGGCCTTAAGGCGTTGCACCTGGACCAGTACCGGACGGTGTGCAATGCGGGAGACTAAGTCCCGCAACCCGTCCAAGTACTCCTCGTACTCTGCGAGGGTCCAGCTGTGCGGGGCATACACCGCCACTGCCGCGAAGTCTCCCCACTCAACAGCAACGAATCCCCGCCCAGCACCCAATGCTCTGATGGACGGGGACCGCGGCTGTCTTCTTGCTGCGATGGCCACGGAGCCCCCCGGGTCCCCGATCCAACCCGGATCGTTGATGGGAACCCAATGGGGCTCCGCGACCTCCGCGACGTCCATCTCCCACTCGGCCAGGGTTTGGAGTAACAAATCCTGTGCCCTGGCCGAGTGGTTTAAGTTTGTCTGTATAACGGTGAAACCTAAGCCGTGACGGTGGGCTCCTCCCCGCCCGCACCTGACTTAACGACGGCTGTATCAGCCGCCCGTACGTCCACTTCCATTGTTACTGGCGTGAGAGGAGCTACCGCAGCCGGGTCCGCGTGTGTCTCCCTCGCATTCACTACCTCCTCCATCTCCGCCTCCTCCGCAATCGGAGCTGCGGTGGGCAGTTTTGGGGCGGGGGGTGTGGCCATTCAGATACCACTGTCCCCTCGCCTCCATCCCCACCATCACCGCTTTCCCCGCAATCGGAGTTGCGGTGAGCGGTTTTTGGGCAGGTGGTGTGACCGTTACAAATGCCATGTTCCCCTGCCCCTCCTCTTGCTTGCCGGGGCACAGGCCTTGCTCCCCAGCCTATGCCCGGCTGGTCTCCCAAGGTTCGCGCACAGCGGGCATTTCGGGGAGGCCGCCGGACACTCAGCTGTCCGGTGACCGGACTTGCCGCTCCGGTCAACCGGGCAGCTGCATGCGCTCCTCACGTGTCCCTTCTCCAATCACTTGAAACACTGCATCGGCCTCGGGGGAAGTAATTCCACCCTGGCCGTCGACCACCCAACTTGTAACTTACTTCCTGTGGAAGTTATCCTCCATGCGGCTGTCAGGGGGCACCGCACCCAGCATGCCCCCATCCGGTAGTGGGAGAATCTTATCTCCCCCACGAGAACTTCCGCTTCTGGGCACTACCCGGTGCTGGCGACAGCAGATTACGCCTCCTTCGGTGTGACGCTGTCGTCCAGCCCGGACAGCCGAATCTCCTGTCTCTTTATAGGGCGGGCTATTTTAATGTCCGGCCCGCCTACCATTTCAACCATCTTCGCTGCCAAGGCGTCGGCCTTTGCGGCCTCGCCCTCCCCTGGAATCTCCAGTATCATGGCCCCGGTTATTGCTCTCCGGGACCTGATTCCCTCGATGCTCAGGTCGGCGAGCTTTATCTTGGTTTTCGCCTCCGAAATTACCTCGCCGACCTTCCTCGTTGCTCCCGGGAGGGCGGCAATGACAATAGCCGCTGTCCTTGGCGGTCCCCTCAGGTGCCACAGCCGACTTTTCCCATTGGCTGTGGTACGGGAAGAGGCGTTCCCGAGGTACCCGAGTCTCTAGAGCCCCACAGCACCACGCTGTGGGGCCGCATACCGTAAAACCTTGGCGTTGCAACGACCCACTGTAGTGAAGTGGTACGTGGCGCCAAGGGAACGGGGGGCTTGCCTTAACTGGCTGGCTTGCGAGGATGGCAACCTCTATAAAAAATCCTTAACCTTAAGCTATGGCGCGCGGTGACGGGGCACGCCTTGACGGATGCGTCGGGCGTGACGGGTGAGCTCATCCGTCCCTAGCGGCCAAATTCCGGGATCCTGGCGCCCCCGGTTTTATCTAGCCTTACCTGGGCAATGGGAGCTCTACCCAGGCCGACATCTGTTCTCGCCGTACTCGTGGGATGAATTATGGACTGCAAAAAACTTAAACAAAAAAACCAAACCTAGCGTAAGTGAGGATGAAGAGGCGGATTCACGGAGACTAGATAGCAGAACAAGCTCGATGTCATCTATTACGGATGACACATTTGCAACACCCAGCAAGAAGAAGAGGAGAGCTGTAGAGAGTGGTGCCGAGGGTGGGCCGACTCCTGGCAGGGGAGTGATAGAAGAAATTAAAGGTGAAAGAGACATGCTCGAATCTTTCTTGTTTAATGATGTTAATAAGGTAAATAAAAGTATCACTAAATTTGTGCTAGCCAAGTGGGCTGTTCTAGAATCTAAACTACAACAAGAGATTTCGGAAAGAGAGAAAGTAACTGCACTATATAATGAATGTCTGAAAAGACAATCGAGTACATATGCGCAAGTGACGGCAACACCCACAAGGCCGATGACTCCAGCTGTTGGCGTGCCTGCTCGCACAACTAGTAAAAAGCAGGAGAAAGAAAAAATCATTATTCTAAAACCCAAGGATGACAGTGATAACAGGACAAATGATGAGCTGAAAAAGCAAGTCACTAAAGTCCTTGCAAGTAATAGAAAGAATCTAAAAATCAAACAAATACGGCAACTTAGAAATAAAGGAGTGTTGATCGAGGCGAATGGCAATGATGATATTAAAATAATAAAGGAGTCTAACTTGGAAAAAATTGGGCTAAACGCAACAGAACGAAAGAAGATAGACCCGTCGATAATCATCTACGACGTGGAAAAGGAATGGAAGCCTGAGGAATTACTTGAAGATTTCTGTTCCAAAAACTTTTAAAAGTTGACTCCAAATGAAATCGACAAAATTAAAGGGGAAATTAAATTTAAATATGCCTTCAAAACCAGAAATGAAGGTCGTGTGAATTAGATTGTCCAGTTGCCGGGTTCGGCTTTGGACAAATTTAATAATAGAAGTAGAATCTTTATGCTCTGGAGAGCCTATAAGTTCAAAGATTATTTGAACATTGTGCGATGTTTTAAATGCCATGCGTACGACCACGTAGCAAAATATTGCTCAGTAGCTTCGTAATTATGCGAAGGTTGTGGAAGTGCTGAGCACCTCAGAGAGAACTGTCCTAATAAAGATAGCCCCAAATGTCCTCTGTGTACTCGGTATAAGAGAAAGGAGGTAGCATATAGTGTTAGGAGTAAGGCTTGTCCAGAATATTTACGACAGGTTGAGTTGTACAAAGAAAAGGTACGATGGACCTAGTTGTTGCTCAAATTAACGCCCAAAGATCCAGGGCAGCAACTGCTGATCTGAGAAACATCGTAACTCAGAAAAATATAGACGTTTTATGTCTACAGGAGCCTTACTCCTATAAAGGCAAGGTCACTGATTACAGTGTTATGAATCTTAACACCTTGTTCCCGAAAAAGGGTACACCGTGGGTTGCCGCGGTGGTGGATCGAAAGCTGGACGTTTTCTCGGTGACGTCATTGGAGACTGAGCACTTGATGGTTTTTCAAGTTTTGTATGACGATTTTAGTTTTCATATAATTAATATTTATTGCCAGTTTTCCCAGCCAATCGATAGATTTATTGTCGATCTCGAGCCATGTTTGGTTCGGTTGGATTCCAGAAGAGTTCTAATAGTCATGGATGCTAATGCCAAATCGACCTGTTGGTTCTTGGATGAGACTGACGAGAATGGCAAGAAATTAGAAGATTTTATTATTGAACAGGATTTGATAATTGTGAACCAGCCGTCAGCACTGACTACGTTTTTAAATTTGGGAGGAATATCTAACATCGATGTGACGCTCAGCTCGAGAGAGCTGAGCACATATATATGCTCCTGGAGAGTTTCGGACTTGTCCGCGATTTCGGATCACAGCCTTATCACATTTTGGATTCGGGATCGAAGAAATACTGAGTGTATGGCCACGAAAAACAGGCCTTTCAATGTTAAGCTCCCTGACTGGGATAAATTTAATGCCATGATTGAAGCTAAGTTCACGACGCAGGTTTTGGAAACCTTTAAGGTAAATAATCCAGATAGAGCGATCAAACGCTTGGGAAAGATTCTGGATGAAATTTTTACATCATCTATACCGCGAAAGAAACTTGTCGGGAGGCCGGTCCCTTGGTGGACTGACACCCTAGTACAGATGCGTCGTGAAGTCCAGAGGAGCAGGAGGCCGTTGTCTAGGGCGCGCAGACTGCAATTGCACGATACTATGGAGGGCTGTAATGAGCAATATAGAGCAAGTAGAAATTTATACGTGACGGAAATCAAGAAACAGAAGCGTCTGTCTTGGAGGAAGTTTGTCAGCGAAGAGGGTAATCGTGAACCCTGGGGCATGATACATAAAATGATAAGATATAGATATCAAAACCCATGTAGTATTGGTACTTTACTGTTGCCTGATGGCTCTATGACATGTTCGTGGATAGAATCAGTTAAGGCATTATGTGCAAAGTTCGCCCCTGGCGATAGCACAGAATTGGAAATTGAAGCACCTAGAAATATTAGGATGCTAAATAATAAGTACCAGAACTTTAATTTGGAACCGGACATCTCGATGGCCGAGATTAGCAATGCTATCAAGAGAACCAAGAATAAGGAAGCCCCGGGACTTGACGGTTTCCCCCCGGAAGTCATTAAGAATTTGTGGGTAACTAAACCAGAAGTACGGCTCTCCATATTTAATTTGTGCCTTAGAGCGAATGTAATACTCACTATGTGGAAGAAAGCTAGAATTATGATTGTACCAAAAACAATGGATGCCGATCTGCAACAAATTAGCGCTTATAGACCCATTGCCCTGCTGCCGGTCATTAGCAAGATCTTTGAACGGGTGATTGTGGACCGTATACAGCTTTCTTACAACGAGCAAAACTTTGCGAGTTCCAGACAATTTGGAATCAAAAACGGTTTCGGCACTGAGGATGCTTTGTTGAAATTTAAAGAGGAGATCGCTCATACGGACAAGAAGTACGTTTTGGCTCTGTTTGTCGATATTGTTGGTGCCTTTGACCATCTTTGGTGGCCACCGATTAGAGCGCGGTTGGCCCTCGGTAATTGTAGCACCACGATAATGAATTTAATATCTAGTTACTTCAGGCGAAGAAAAATTGTTTTTAGAAGCCAACATCAAGTGTTTACACACACGGTTAAAAGGGGCTGCCCACAAGGCTCCATTATTGGACCAGCCGCCTGGAATTGATTCTTGGATCAGTTCTTGTTGCAGTTCTCACTGCTGATGACATATTGTCTGTTATAAAGGGAAATTCTAGATTAGAATTGGAGCAGCATGGAAATTTAGTCACGGGATTGCTCGAGGATTGGTGCCAGCGCAGTAAACTGGTTGTATCGGAGAGGAAGACTGTCGCGGTGCTGGTCAAGGGAAAGTTAGACATGAGAAGACCACCGACGATAAAAATAAATCAGAGGACCATTAAGTGTGCTACTGAATACAAATACTTAGGCGTAATTATTGACGCTAAGTTAAATTTCGCTTCACATGTGAAAAGATTACGCGAAAAAGTAGTCAAATACATGATATCGCTGAGAAGGTGTGCCAGTGAGACGTGGGGTATCATAAGGCCGATACTTAATATTTTTTATAAAGCTGTCTGTTTGCCAATTATAACCTATGGCTCACTGATTTGGTATAATAGGACAGAGACAGTTATGGTACGAAGACATCTTAACTTTATGCAAAGGACAATATTAATGGTGATAGTGAAGGCATGCAGGACAACTTCCACTGCCTCAATGCAAGTAATCGCTGGGTGTCCACCCATGGATCTCGAAGTCGTGCAATATGCCTTGATTAGAAGAATCAAGAGGAACTTACCAATCTCTTGGTAGGGGTTGCGCCTTAATTGGGCTGATGAAGAGGATGAAGTTACATTCGAAACAAAAAGGGCACTCATCGAGGGAAAGATCATGGAAGAATGGCAGCGAAGGTGGGACGTAAATGAACACGGTAGGGATACCTACCAGTTTATAAAGAATGTTGGTTTTCAACGAGAAAGACCTTTGTTTAGTCCACCTCGCTTGAGCGTGTATATACTTTCGGGATACGGATTCATGAAGCATTCGCTGCATCGGAGAGGATTAACGGATTCGTCAACGTGTCCGTCTTGCAGAATTGACACAGAAACAGTTGAACATATTTTATTTCATTGTTCAAAATATGAACAATATAGATATCCAGTATTAAAGAACTCTATTGCAAATTGGATTGCGTTGATTCGCAACAAAGACAACTTTAAGCTCTTTGTAAATTATACTAACAAAATTTTTGATGAACGTAAAGCCTACATTTCTGGAATAACTGATGAAGTCGATGCTTCTGTTCCCTCAATGGATACTCCACCGGATACTTGAAGAGGAAAGAAGAAAGAAGAAAGAAGAATCGGACTGATGTTTTCAGCTTTATACATACCTGATGTCGGAATACATATACCATCACTGAAGTTTCTCCACGTCAAGAACCTGATGAAAAAGGAAAAATTATAAGGGTTTTAATACATACCCATTATTGAAGACGATACATTTTGAACTTTGGTCACGTCCTGGAAAAATAATAATAACTTAGAATCCAGTGAATTAATATTGCACGAGATAAGGAAAATACAAGGAAGTAGAGGAGGGTCCGTCTCCACGTGACAGGGACGGTAACGTCGGGTGAAACCCGGCGGCCAAGAGACCCAGTG